TGTGCGTATTACACAAGACTTAGTATTAGACAGATTTCTCTTTGAGACCTGTCTCGACTGCCTACAGTTGTGTGAACATAGGCAAATTTCTTAACATTCTTCATCTATAAAATGAAGATGATTAAAAATATCTGCTTGATAAGAATGTTTTAAAGTATTAAATGAAGTAATCTGTGAAAATCTTTGGTACACTGCTTGGCACTCTTTTTTCCATTCTTGTTGGAACTGCCTAATTCATTCAATATAATCTTCTTTTTTTTGGTGAGAAAGATTGGCCCTGAGCTAAGATCCATTGCCTATCCTCCTCTTTGTGCTTGAGGAAGATTGTCGCTGAGCTAGCGTCTGCGCCAATCTTCCTCTATTTTGTGTGTGGGATGCCACCTCAGCATGGCTTGATGAGCAGTGTGCAGGTCCATGCCTGGGATCCAAACCCGTGAACCCTAGGCTCCCAAAGCAGAATGCCTTAATTTAACCGCTATGCCACCAGGCCAGCCTTAATACAATCTTCTTTTAAAGACATTACAGCATGTTTCTGGCTGGTACCTTTGACTCTGGTGTTGGCACCCTTAGTCCAACTTCTACTTTGCTGATTAATACCTCATCCCCCCGCCCCTGCTCCTTAGACATTATGCACCTACTACTTGCCCTTCCCTGACTCTGCTGGGCTCTTCCACCTCCCTGCTTCATCTGTACTTCTTTACTGTCCATCTGCTGAGTGCTTGTTCCTTCCTCACTGGCCTTTTGAACATCTACTTTTTCTTAAAATCTCTTTTCAAACATTATCTCCCTAAGGAGAGAGTCAGACATTCTTTTTTCCATACATCCGTGGTACTCCTATATGCCTCTGTTATAGCTCAGTCACGTTGTAATTTAATTATCTGTAGGGGCCCACGAGAGAAAAGAATGTGGCTAGTTGTCTCGGCATCCTTAGATGAGTCACAACTGTAGCTTTAAAAGCTTGCTTGTATTTATCACACAAATGCTTAAATGAATGCTAAGTCTCCACGTGCCAGGCATTATGCTAGTGACTGGGATGCAGATGTAAATGGGATAAAGTCCTTGTCCTCAAGAAGTGTGCAGTGTGAAGTGGATAGATAGAAGAGGAGAGACAAAAGATCCAGGTCATGAATGAACAGACTATTTCATTTACAGCTAAAGGATGTCAGCATTTAGGCTAGTCATTTTTTATTTTAAAGAGGTGAATTAGTACTTTAAAATTCTAACTTTTAACTTACTTGTTAATGAAAGCAGTTTTGTTATAAGTTTTGCCTCTTGAGGGAATGTATTCTTTTTTTTTTTTAAAGATTTTTTTTTTATTTTTTCCTTTTTCTCCCCAAAGCCCCCCCGGTACATAGTTGTGTATTCTTCGTTGTGGGTTCTTCTAGTTGTGGCATGTGGGACGCTGCCTCAGCGTGGTCTGATGAGCAGTGCCATGTCCGCGCCCAGGATTCGAACCAACGAACCACTGGGCCGCCTGCAGCGGAGCGCGCGAACTCAACCACTCGGCCACGGGGCCAGCCCCGGGAATGTATTCTTATAGACCCGAATGCCGAGTTGTCCTAGTGTCTTGTGATATGAGGAGATGAACGTTGGCTATATGTTTCAAGTGATTTACTCTAAGTAGGGGGTTTGCATCAGTCATAGGTGGAGCCTTGGGTGTGAGAACTGCCCCAGTTGTCTAAGCTGAACTCCTTTCTCTGTGCTTTCTCAATTTTGAGGTAAAGTTTCAGGTGGAAGTGTTGGCTGTTGATTCATAGCATCTCGCAAAAGTTGAAGTGGTCTTACTTTAGTTTTAATTTTTCAAACTCTAAGAATTTTTTCTTCTTTTCTGATCTTATACAGTTTAACAATCATGAGAACAAAATTTTTCTTGGTGAATCAAATATTGTGATTTATATAGACTTAGCATGTATAGTATTTGAGTATAATATTCAAAATAATTCAGTTTTTCTTTACTGATACGAGTCACTTTAGTACCCTGGTAGGCCTTAGTATTATCAATTGAGAATGAACAATCATAGTACCTTAAGTACAGAAGTACTTTTAAAGTGCAAGGATTTCTATTGATGGAATGCTGTACTCACAGAGTAGCTTTTATTTTGTCGCCCCTGGTGAATTTACTTATTTGTTATTTTCTGGGTGATTCTTGGGATTCTGGCATTGGAAATTAAACATAAACTTACTGTATTATATTAATACCTGTGTTCTTAATAATTGTGAGGGCATTTTTAATTCCAAGAAAAATGCAAATTAGAAGAAATTATATTTTTCTCTTCTGTGCATAAAGACCCTAAGTCTTTTTAAGATACCACTTTTCAAAGTATAGAAGCAATCCATGGAATATTTTCAGTAGCATATCGAATTTTGTTGTTCAAATATAATTAGGTTATAGGAATTTTTATTTATTCTAAATTTTGTTTTTAATAAGAATTTAATAATTTAAAAATTTAATAGCAACAAAGGACATAAATTTAATTTGTGTGTGTGAGAATTTTTAAATCACGGCATAGTGATGTTGATGTAAGGATTTGGCACAGAAAGAAGTTTTAGTGAAGGAATTTTCAGATAGATAGTAATCAAACCAGGAGAATATGGTGTATAAGCCAAGAGAGAAGAGAGATTGGGAGGAGGGAGAGGTGATCGACAGTGTGAAATTAGAGGAAAAACAAACAAAGTTAAGTAAGATAAGGGTAAAATGAGGTAAATTTGTTTAAATAGTTATAAGAGCAGTTCCAGTAGAGCAGTTGGAGCAGGAGACACATTCCAGTGAGCATCATGTATCTCGTTCTCTCTCCTACGCCAAAGAATTGGACAGATAAATGCTATTATTATCAATTCCAGCTGGCATCATTGTTAGCGAATGCAACATATGTTGAAGGGCCGTCCTGCAACATGACAATGTGAGAGGAGTGGTGATGTTTTTATCTTAATAGGTGACTTTCACAGCTTGCCTTGAACATCAAATCTGTGAAACTAAAATTAATGTGAGATGCTTCTTAGTAAAGGGACTCTTTTTCACTTAGCTTTTCTACTTCTTTTCATCTCACATTGATTTTAGGAACTTTGCCCTAAAGACTTCTTAACTTGGTTACTACAGTGTTTAGACTCCATAGTAAGCTATCAAAACATATTTGATGTGTTTGGACTCTATTTTTTAAGTAATATTGTCGACTCTGTTTTATTTCCTCACTTCTGGATGGGGAATAATAAAGGTAGGAAGAGCAGGCTAAGCCCTAGACTGCCTAGACCGCTCTGCAGCCTAACAGGACGCTGGCAGAGTGGCCTGTCTTCCCAGTCCTGCCTGACTTTCAGGCCCTGTTCATAAGATGGAATAGACAAGGCAAGAAAATATGAATGTGCAAACTACATGTATTGATTTCAGTCAAAGCCAAAGGCGGAAGCAATGGAGTGACTTTGTGTAGAAGCTTTCTTTAGCATACAGACTCAACTCTTTTATCTGCGTTGTATTATTCCTCTTTGGACAGTCATATTTTTCCTTAGATCATCGTTAAGGGTGAATCTAACTAGATTACATGTGACTTCTGCTTCTAATTACTGTATCATGCATTGTGCATGTATGTGTGTGTGTGTGTATGTGTTTATTTATCACTATAATTCTATTACTATAAGGTAGAGTTCCTTTTGCTACAGCATCTGGGAATGAATATGAACGAAAAAACTTAAGAAAGAACTTTGTCGGTTCAGATTCCTCTCCATTTTTTCCTGCTCTCATTTTTGTGGGTAAAAGAATGAATGAAGATCATTCCACAGTTTTGTTTTGTTTTTGTGAGGAAGATTGGCCCTGAGCTAACATCTGTTGCCAGTCTTTTTCTTTTTGCTTGAGGAAGATTGTTGCTGAGCTAACATCTGTGCCAATCTTTCTCTGTTTTATGTGGGATGCTGTCACAGTGTGGCTTGACGAGCAGTGCTAGGTCTGCACTTGGGATCCGAAGTTGCGAACCCCGGGCCGCTAAAGCGGAGCGCACGAATTTAATCACTATGCCACTGGCCCAGCCCCCATGCCACAGTTTTAATTCCTTGTTTTATCTTTCTCTCCCTGGCCTCTAGCTGACCTGCATGACTTCCTCTGAGATTACTAACTTAAGTGCTTCTGTTTACACTAGATAACCTGATGCCTTTCCCCACTCGTGTACTATAGATTCCTCTGGTTAATATTTCCCACTTCGGGAAAGAATTTTGTTAAGTACGATGGTAATATTGGAGGGACATAACATAGAGACAACTTTATAGTTGCCACTAAAGAGATTCTTTAATGATGAGGAAAATCATTAAGAAAAAGATATTATTTGTGATAATTACAGCAAATGGAGTAGGGTATTGAAAACAAAAGTGAACAGCTAGATTAACAGCATTTAAAAAGTTCATGCTGCAAGGCTAGAGGGGAGAGAGGACTGAACAGGTGGAGCACAGGGGATTTTTAGGGCAGTGAAACTACTCTGTTTGATATTATAATGGTGGACACATGTCGTTATATATTTGTCAAAACCCAAAGATGTACAACACCAAGAGTGAACCCTAATGTAAACTAAGAACCTTGGGTGATAATACTGTGTTAACGTAGGTTCATTGATTGTAACGAATGTACCATTGCAGTGTACTATGTCAGTAGTGGAGGGGGGTTGTGTGTGTGGGGGGCAGGGGGTATGTGGATAATATCATTACTTTCTGCTCAATTTTGCTGTGAATCTAAAACTTCTCTACAAAATAAAGTCTCTTTAAAATCAAACAAACCAACAAACAAATAGTTTTATGCTCATTAACATCTTAGAATCATCCAGAGATGAGCTGAAATTTACTTTCTCTGACTCAAAATGAATCAGTTAACTATTTGGGAAATTTGTGGACCCAAGGGAAATTGCTTGCTTTTGGAAATCTCTTGCTTCACTCACTAGTTATCTCATTTAGTAAGCATTAAAAATGCTATAAATTCAGCTATTTATATTATACTTCACTAACATTTGCTTCTCATTTACCTCTAGGTTTGAAGTTTGAGGAAATTCAAGAAAGATTTGGTGAGGAGTTCTTTAATATATGCTTTGATGAGAATGAGAGAGTCCTTCGAGCTGTAGGTGGCACATTGCAGGACTTTTTTAATGGCTTTGATGCTTTGTTGGAACACATTAGAACTTCTTTTGGAAAACAGGCCACTCTGGAGTCACCATCATTCCTATGCAAAGAGCTCCCTGAAAGTACTCTTATGCTGCACTACTTCCACCCTCACCACATTGTGGGGTTTGCAATGCTGGGGATGATTAAGGCTGCAGGAAAGAAGATCTATCGTCTAGATGTGGAAGTGGAACAGATTGCAAATGAGAAACTGTGCTCTGATGGTTCAAACCCAGGCAACTGTAGCTGTCTTACTTTCCTTATCAAAGAATGTGAAAATACTAATATCACGAAGAACCTTCCACAGGGAACCTCCCAAGTTCCTGCAGACCTCAGAATTAGCATCAACACCTTCTGCAGAGCCTTCCCTTTCCACTTGATGTTTGACCCCCACATGTCAGTCCTTCAGCTGGGGGAAGGCCTAAGGAAGCAGCTGCGGTGCGAAACTCACAAAGTGCTCAAGTTTGGGGACTGCTTCGAGATCGTTTCTCCAAAAGTTAATGCCACCTTTGAAAGGGTCCTGTTGAGACTGTCCACCCCGTTTGTGATTAGGACCAAGCCTGAGGCTTCTAGCACTGAAAATAAAGACAAGGTAGGTGGCCATGAACTTGAGACGGGTGATGGGAGCTGGAAGAGTGCATAATTATTTCAATAAATTACATACTGGCTGTACTTGTCATTATTTAGGCAAGAGAGCTTAAAGTGCCATTTAGAAAATTACTGGTCCCTGGATGTGTGTAAAAAGATTTGGCCCTATTCCCAGCCATTTTGCATAGTGTCTGCCTCTTCCATTAATTTATTTCAGCATATAAAAAAGAAGACATTTATTAATACTAGCCATAGTAATTACAAAAATGATAGGACTCACTAAAAATTCAATACTGTAAACCCATGAATATTTCCACTGATTGAAGACAAACTATGAGAGAAATGGTAAGACTGATTTCAACATTGTGGGATTTGCTTGTCTTATCATTAAATAAATATGGGTAAAAGTTAACTACACTTTGACTATGTTCTGTTCTAAATTTCATAATCTAGGAACATCTGGTTTACATTCTGTTTTTATCTTTATATGCAGAATAATGTATTTTCTAAAAGTTGGAAATTTAAGTGACTATCTCAAGACTTCTCCTCTAATTAAATTTTAGTATTGAAATAGAGATTCGTTCCTTTAGAACATGTTTACTCCTTGAGAGAATACAGTGAACACTCGGAATCTTTATTGTGAATTTCTTTGAATCCCTTTGGGGAAAATCTGGGCTATAAATTGTAAATAAATGATGGAAAGATAACAGAAATAAATCTTAAAATAGTTGAGTTTAAGCAAACATATTCCCACAGGTAAAAAAATGTTTTGAAAAAAGTCAACATTAAAATAAGTAATAAAATGTAAATAAAAATCAGTCATAACTATTTCAAATTTGGTAATATACTTTCAGTGATTAATTTTTCAGAGAAAAATATTGTTAATTTCCAGAGTAGATATTTGAATGTACCTTCACTTGCTGGTAGAGCTTCCTTTCAATATTTTATATCCAGATAAGTAAAGTTCTTTTAGGCTATTCTTAAGTATTTTGTTCCCAAGCATTTTGCGCAAGCTGTTGGCTTTTAGAAATGAACACGTTGCTCTGGGCTAAAGGAGGGAAGAGTTGCAGACACAATTAAAAGCTCAGTGAGTGAATAATCTGCACATATTCTGCAGTGCCTGCAATAATAAATTAAATAAATGAGGAAATAGCCTTCTGAAAGCAGAGCCAAAGACTTTTTTGAGATTTTTATACAGCATTAGCTTCATAATTGATTAATTTTTATAATTTTGAAATTCAATGGAAATATTTTAAACTAAATATTTGAGAAAGATGGAATGATGCACATTTGTTCAGTATGATTGAATCAGGTGATTTAGGAATATCATTTAGTAGTGTTTTCATGGTATAAGTTAAGTGATTTGAAAACATTTAAGGATAAATGTGAAGATTCCAATTTGGCGTATTTGGATATTTTAGTCTGAATGAATTTTTGTTCCTATTTGATTACACATGATGTTTTAAATAATGTTTTTCACATGGGCATACTTTATTTATATATGTGCATATACTACATTCAATACTTATATTGAATTCAATTATACATTCAATAATTGCTACACATCTTGAAACTCTTTAGAATGGAAGAAAGTTGTTAAATGTGTATTTTTGTCTATATTTCTAGTTGCTTTAAAACTGGAATTATTCTATCTTTTTAATTTAGGGAATATTAAAGCTGTCAGTTCTGTTTTACAGAATACAATATTTGGCTAAGAGGGTTTGAAGGATTTTTGGTCTTTAGAATTGAAGTTAATATTTTTGAAGATGTGCCTGAAGTAGAATATATTATTACCAATGTTGGTTATTTTGTATATCTTGTAGATTTGAGGAAAATTAATTTAATTTAAGGTTCCTGCTTCAGATTTTCTCCCCCTATTTTTCATCTGGCTTGTATTTCTATTCAACTTGTATACCAGGGTAAGAAATAGACATAATGAAATGATGACTCAAATGTCAAGGCCCCCTGCCAATACCAATAATCAGGAACTGTGCTCATTGAGAAGATGCAATTATAATTTAAACATGTTAGTGACAGGTTAAAAATAAAGCAATAGGCAGGATTTCTAGTTAGAATAAGGAGAGCAGTCCTCTCATCCTTATGTTTACAGTTCTTCTAGAGTAGGACATTTAGGAGGCTGCAGTCGGCCCAAATTGAAACTATAGTCAATAAAGTTGTGGCATGGAGTAGTAACCAGATGAATCACGTTTCTGAATTATTATGTTGCCAAATTCCAAATTTTTAGTATCTTAAAACATGGAAAGAAAAAGAAAATCAGGATTCAAAATTATGATTCTGTTGATAAATTTGACCTCGTTATTCATTATTTTCCCCATAATAGCTGTTCTTGTTAATAAATAACTGCATGTCGTCTGAAGTTTCTAATTTTTTTTAGCGGGCTTTGATAAGAAACTGCTATTTTGAAATAATTTAGGATATTTGTTCCTTAGTCTAACGGTGAAAGCTTTCATGACAATTTAACTATGTTGGCTCTGGACTTAATGATAACGAACCACCGACTCTGCAGTCAAGAGGGAAAAATACAACGAAAAATGAAAGCTAATCGTGCAACTGAATGACAGTGAATCCTGTGCAGAATGAACTGTGATGCTTTTGCTAAACCGTGATCTTTGTGTGTCAGTCAACAGTTAACTGTGTGACTAGAGGTAGAACATGCTTGTGAGCAATGTGGTGAGACACTAATGGAACAGAAAGCCATCATCCTAGATTCAGAGGATTTACATCTTGATTTGCAGTAATGAGTTATAAAGACATAAGGGTTGGTTCCCAGAAGCAAGAGTGTCGCTGAGAGGCATCTGATGGAGTAATTGGTGGCAGGCTTCAGTTCAATGGAGTTTTGAGGTCGGAAAGTACTCTTCCAGATGTCTTGGCCAAGCTTTGATTCCCATTATTTAGTTCCCTGTACGTCTTCTCTAAGTGATCATCCATGCCTCACATAGTCTTCTCTATTTTCTTTTTTCCCTATATGCAATTCTTATGTTTTCATCTTTTCTTAAGCTCAATTTCCTGTCCAACATCTTCTTTCCTTATCAGAGGTCAAGCATTAAATATGAATGAATTAGTTCATTATTAAAAAAAACTGGATTCGGCATCAGGAATTAAGACTGAATTGGGAGTCCATATTGATTTGTGCTGTGTATCTTTCAGGTCATTCAAATCTAATATGGTGCTGAGAATTTGGAAGTTTATTACATAGATCTTTTGAGGCATTTTGGTGAGTTCGAGAAGAAATTTATTGCAGTCCAATATGCAGTGTAGGGTTAACATTTAGTCATATAAACCTAACTCATTGACATGGATTCTAAAGCTTCTTTGTATGGAGGGGCCCATGTTTGTAGATAGGGCAGTTAGCAAGTAGAGTAATGGCACATAGCTTCCTTTTCTGGATTGTAAGGTCATGATGTGGGGGCGGGGGGGGGGGGGGAGTGGCAACAGACTGGGTGAGAGGTGTCTCTGACAATCACAATCTTAGTGAATCTCCATAATTTCTAAGCCTCAGATTGATTCATTTGGAAATTAAGGAGCCTAGACTAATAATTAGTATTTTTACTCTTTACAAGTCGTCCTTAACGCATATACATTTGTACGAGGTCAGCTGATCGTGAAGCTTTCTATCATCACTATGATTCAATGAATTCAGATGTGTTTTTAAAAAGAGGCAGAGGGGAATCTGACATTTCAACCAGAAAAAGCTCCTTCTATTATCTAAGACTAAGTTAAAATAATTTTCTGACAGCTTAGGCTGCCTACCTTAGAAAGTTGTTTGTGAAGATTAAATGACATAATCCATGTAAAATTCTTATTATATCTTCGACCCCAGGGTTAAGTGTTGAATAAATGTTCATTATTATTACTTCTACCACTATTATTAGTGTTGTTCTTTTGCACTGGAACATTCTTCCTTATCCATTCTCCTCCTCACTTCTTGCCTTAAAGAAGAAAGTACTGGAATGCAGAAGGTTTAATAATTTTAGAGAAATATCAAGCCCACCTAACATCTTCACAAAATACGATTTGGGCCCTGTTTCTTGTCTTCTTAATAAAGACTAGAAGAGAGCTTGTCACAAATTCTATAGGAGCTCTGTTTGGATCTGCTTTTTATTTATAGACTATTGTTGTTTTAAAATCTGCAGTCTCCTTTTCAGATTGACTAAAGTTTGGAACCAAGTTTTTATTACCTGTGTCTAGTAATATCTTTATGTTCACTTGTTACAGCACTTTGCTGTGCCAGTGGCTTCTAAAATAAAATGGACTGGTTAGTTTAGGCACAGCCTGAAACAGCAATGGATTTTGAGAAACGATAAATGAGTTCTTTTGACATTTTTGTCTTAGTAGCAATGCTTCCAAGAAGTTTAATAACATTGCGGAAGGAGTCCAGCATTTGAAATACATCATGCCCAAGACAGAGCAATAGCATTGTTATTCATCTTCACTTTTGTTCTCAGGGTTGGAACTGAGGAAAAGCATAACAGCAACACATTTCTTTTTCAATCCCCAGAAACAGCCGCACATTTGTCTTATTAATTAGAAGCTACAAAACAAAAGCTGGGAAACAATTTTCAAAGAATAAAGGAAGAATAAACCTCTGATTTTCTGTGGTCAAATCAGTTTCCAAAATGCTCCTTTATCTTTTTAGACACATGCCCATCTTTTTGTGACATCAGGATTGAAAAATTTAAAATATGTTTATTAATCTTACCATACCATAATGACACTGCTGAAAGAAAAGTTTCATCTGGCTGTCAAGAATACATCTTTTGATTCAACTTAAATTGAATTAATTTGGGAAAATGTGAGCTTTCCTTCTCTGTTCAGGTAATAATAGTCTATTAGAGAATTTCAAATGTTGAATAATAATTTTAGTGATGGACAAAATGACATTAGGGCTTTCTCTATAAATTAGCATTATAGAGCATGCACTTAACTTCATTCGGGATTATCTGGAGTTTTCTTTACTCTTTAATTATGAATGAGATCTTTAAT